TTTTCAAATTAATTTGAAAAATATTTGACAAATATAACCAACTAAAGATATTTGCATTAATGACATTTTTGATTATTTGTTTGTTGTTAAGCGCAAAGCTACACAATGGGCTATCTGTGCTGTGCCTATTACGGGTATCGAAACCTGGTTTTTAGCTCACTTCATGTTGAAATGTATTCACTGCAAGCTTTCGAACACTTTACCATAGGCGTCGTCAGGCTAAAACGTATTACAAATTTAAATTAAATTTTGATATCGAGATCGACCTTATTGTGGAAAATGCTTTGTTTTCCTTTAAACAGTAAAGACTGCGAGTTTCCAGCCTACAGGATTGCTTGAAGTAGGAAAAAAAAGCATTTCTACTGCTTGGAAAAATGTAGATTAGGCTTAAATCCATCCGCAGAAGATTGCTTGAAGTAGAAAAAAATGCATTTCTACTGCTTGGAAAATGTAGATTAGGCTTAAATCCATCCGCAGAAGATTGCTTGAAGTAGAAAAAAGGCATTTCTACTGCTTGGAAAATATAGATTAGGCTTAAATCCATCCGCTAAGCACCATTAGAACGTATTTATTATAAATCTAGTTACATGTCTTGTAGTTATTGTTTTGTGCAACGCTTATATCCAATTTAATTAAAAGAACAACCATACAAAATGGTATTACTTGCAACATAATGGTAATGTTGGACATGAATTTTCTGAAATACCTGACGATTGATGAACAGAGAAAATTGTATAGCATTTGAAAAATATTTTAAAAAATTATCATTATTTTCGATAAAGAATAATAACAATTAAACTATTTCATTAACACGAAAGATACACTTTTGACTAGTAACATATATAACATAAAATAAACAAAATAAATACATAAAATGAACAAAATAAACTAGATACAGAAAATAAATAAAATATAATATGCACATAAAATAAACAAAATATAATATGCACATAAAATAAATAAAATATAATATGCACATAAAATAAACAAAATAAATACATAAAATGAACAAAATAAACTAGATAAAGAAAATAAATAAAATATAATATGCACATAAAATAAACAAAATAAATACAGAAAATAAATGAAATATAATATATGCACATAAAATAAACAAAATATGCACATAAAATAAACAAGATACAGAAAATAAATAAAATATAATATATGCACATAAAATAAACAAAATAAATTCATAAAATGAACAAAATAAAATAGATACATAAAATAAATAAAATAATATATGCAC